GTGCGAGTAGGCCAGACAGGCCCGAGACCGCGGACTTGGGCCTGTAAGCACTCAAGGCAGTGACAATCAGTCTGAAGATGTGGTATAAAGCATAATCACAGCTTTTTGCATTGTTCATGTCTCCCTTTGGTGACTGATTGTGAGCTTCTGCTGCCGACAATGGGTGCATGGCTTCAGGAGGTCTGGGGCTTATAAGGCTTAGGGCCTTTGGGGCTTAAGCTGATGTTAAAGCTCAGAACCAGAACCCTAATTATGCCATATAAACCCCTAGTTAGGGTTGTGTACAGAATGTGGGAAAGTGCCACCAGACCAGATAAGCCTGAGACCGCGGGATAGAGCCCGGAAAGTGCTGAACGCAGTGACAATCAGTCTGAACATAGTGGAAGCATACAGGTTTGTGCATTGTTCATTGCTCCCTTTGCTGACTGATTATCATCCTTCTGCTGCGGAGCGGAATGAGTGCGGCTAGGCCAGCGAGGCCTGTGAGACCGCCGAAGTGGAGTCAAAAGAAGGAAGCAGCGACAGTGTGCCCTTTGCAATTCCTGCAGTATCTTTCGAATTTTTTCAGCACCCAGGTCCGGAGCTTCTTCATCCTCGGCTTTTTGTTCGTGTTCACCTCAGAGTGACTACATTGGGTTCGGTCGCAATCCGTGTATCGATGGTTCAGGTCTTGATTTGAAGCCTTCGCTGCTTTCGGCGGTGGGCTCTCTTTGTCTTGCGACTTTCTCCATCATGCCGCCCGGTGCCCAGGTCCGGAGCTTCTTCATCCTCGGCTTTTTGTTCGTGTTCACCTCTGAGTCACTACATTGGGTTCGGTTGCAATCCGTGTGCCGATGGTTCAGGTCCCAACTGGTCGGCGGTGGGTCTTCCAAGGTGTGCCGTCGAAGCTTGCTTGAGTCATTCTGATGATCAGTGCGATTCCAAGCTGTGAACACATGGCCTAAGTTTTCCTGGATCCTCAAGCTGGAGACATTTCAGGTAGAATCGAACTTATACAAGTCGGCCTTAGTCTCGGCCGATGTGCTTGCCTTCAAGCTGGGTGTAGACCGCTGTGAGACTGCTAATTACATGGTGCGACAGTAATCCAAGTGAGTAGGAGAGGAACACTCGAGTGTTCCATGCCTCCGATGGCTGAAGAAAAGTCGGACATGGAGCTGTCGGACCTCGAGTTGGTGCGCAAGAAGGTCCGGCTGGACGTGCCTGACAAGCTCTTCATCCAGCTAAAAAAACTTGATTTGGACGTGTACGCTTGGATGGCACCTCGACAGCATGACTGATGTTCGAAGGGAGGTTAAATAGGGTTTAGCTTATGATAGCAAGCATCACTGCCGGACCCCTTGGAGGCCGTGTGCAGCATGCTTGAGCACAGCAAGATGCGCGAGGAAATTCTCAGTACGGACATGTACGACAAGCTGCTACGCTGCTAGTCTGAAGCATCTTCATGCTTGGCTTGAACCATGTTCTTGCTTCGGACCCTCAACCGAGGCCACAACACGAACAATGTCACACGGAAATGCCTGAAGATGAACCCGGTATCCCTCAACAAGGCTTTCTCGAACTTCTTTCACGCCCTGTGCGTGTGGATTCGAGCCCGAGCTGCATTAACTTCGCTGGCATGAAAGCATTCTGACAATTGAAGAACGATTGCCATTGCTCATAATTACTAAGAATCCAAGCTGCGGAAAGACCCGGGGTGTTTCACGAAGTCGGAGAGACCACCCGTCTTCCAGATCAAAGAGGACTCGGCCTAATTAGTCGGGGTTCGGGTCTATATAAAATTAAACAATCTGTTGTTCAATCAGGACGACCTTCCCGACGCCGGTGGTCGCCGGTCTGGGCCTGAAAGTTCTTCACGGAACTCTCAGCCTGCAAATTCCTCATGGAGCTCTCGGCCTTCAAATTCCTCATGGAGCTCTCGGCCTGCAAATTCCTCATGGAGCTCTCGGCCTGAAAATTCCTCATGGAGCTCTCGGCCTGCAAATTCCTCATGGAGCTCTTGGCATCAGGACTCCTGGGGCCAGCAGGACTCCTGGAGGCAGCAGGACTCCTGGAGCCGCGATTGGCATGACGGTTCCTGGACCTGGCATGAGCGCAAGGAATACCGTTGGCAGTCTGTCCCTCAATCGTGGACTGACAATGGGTGGCAGTCCTGGTAATTAAGCCGGGGAATGGGAAGCTGTAGCAATAGTAGAGGGATACTACCGGATTCCTAATTAATTGAGAACGATTCGTACGCTTCCTCTTCCTACCGGTGCCTGACCAGGCTGCCTGACTTGGCGTTTTTCGAGGCAACGACATTGCCTTATTTTGCAAACGGCAATGCTTGATTTTTGACTGGAATCTGCGCCGCCGCAGAAAGTTCGCCCAAGCTGTGTTTTCTTTTCCCACGTCCCACTGCTCTCACTGCACATATTCTTCGGAATGATGTGTTTCATGACAGGTGATTCGGAGATGATTGGCTGGACGCTTGGGCCTCAGTTCTGTGCTGCCTCAATCAGTCGGGTGAGCAACCTTAGCCTGCGCTTCTGCAGGTCCTGGCACTGGGGTCCACCATTCCTTGCCTAAGAACTGTCCGGTTCTGAGTCAGCCATCCGTTGCACAGATTGAGTTTGCTTAAATTGCTCCTGATTCTGTGTGATCTTGCCTGATACCTGTCCGGTCCTGAGTCAGCCATCCGTTGCACAGATTGAGTTTGCTTTTATTTTGCAGGGGCATGATTCTGTGATCTTGCCTGATACCTGTCCGGTCCTGAGTCAGCCATCCGTTGCACAGGCACTGGGGTCCACCGTTCCTTGTTTGAGACCTGTCCGGTCCTGAGTCAGCCATCCCTGGCACAGACTGGGTTTTCTTGGCTTGCTTCGGCATGATTCTGTGACCTTAGCCTGCAGTTGTGCAGGTCCTGGCAGTGGGGTTCACTATTCCTTGCCTGAGATGTGTCCGGTCCTGAGTCAGCCATCCGTTGCAGAGACTGGGTTTGCTTGCTTGCTTCGGCATGTTTCTGTAACCAATCAGAGAACTTTGGTTCAAGCAAGCGCACGTGCTGTGTGCTTTCATCCTGCCAACCCCTGCCTTTGGGGTCTTCGCCCAAAGCCCTGCCCTTCCTGGCCAGGCCGAATCACCCGATTCTGTCTATCTTAGAATTTTAAGCGAAAGCCCTGGCCGGTCTGACTTGCAGGCAACTGCCTTGATCGCCGGCAGCATCCAGCTTGCGGCTGAATTTTCGGTGGTGCTCAAGGCCGGGAGGGTTGCTCCCCAAATTACCTAGTGAGTCGAGTGCGTCCAATGCAAGCCTGACATTTTTTGCCCATGTGGAGTGCTCGTGGCAGACTGAAGTGCGATAATCCGATAATCGTTGCGAGCGGAGCCCTCCTTTGTTCTCTGCAGACAGAAAGCTCAAACTTGTGGTTGAGCTTGCAATGAGGGATGAACTTAATTAACGTCCGGCTAAGGTGCATAATTGAGCGCTCGTCACGTAGCACAAAGGGAGTTGGTTCATTTAGACAGCACGACCTCTAACGTCCAGCTAAGGTGCTTAATTGCACGCTCACCAGATACCAGAAAGGGACTTGGTTCATTTGGACAGCATGACGCTGCTTATGGAAGTCGAAATTCGCTAATTAAGGACTGTGTAACATCTCCTGATTGAAGCCATGGCTGATCGGAGCGGCAAAGGTTACCGGTTTGTGCCTGATGGTGGCAAAGGTTACCGGTTTGTGCCTGATGGTGGACGCGGCAAAGGCAAAGGCAAAGGCGACCCTGTGCCTGAAGAGGATCGTGCCAGATCGCAGGCTGTCTCGTCAGCGGTTGGGCGAGCCCTACGCTTCCACGGCCATGAGACTGAGATCGTGGTGACCACTTTCGGGCCTGATGTCGGCCAGACAGCCCTCTTGCGTGTGCACATCGACCGTCTGACTGGAGCCGAATGCGGTCACCCCTTCGCCGTTTGGACGGGGTCGCCCTCGCCCGAGGAGGAGGCCGCGGCCCAGCAGCGGTCGGAGCATCACGCAGAGCAGCTGCTGACTGACGGGACCCTCGCTGCTTTGGCTGAGGCACTGAGAGGCATTGGTCGCAGTGTGCCTGAACCAGCCTCGGCCTCGGCGGGGCCGTCGGCCTCGCCGAGGCCGTCGGCCTCCGCGAAGGTGAAGGCCAAGGCGAAGGCAAAAGGATTGCCGAAACCCAGCCAGAAGCGTTACAGGACTGAGTAGCTCGGTTCTGCTGGCACAGGGTGGCTGGCGGAAGGCTTTTTTCCTGGCTACTGGCATGTGCCTGAGTGGGAGACAAGGCAGACACTACAATGTCTGAGTTTGGAAAGCCACTTTTCTGGGTACTGCCATGGGCCTGAGTGCAGACACTACAATGTCTGGTTTTGGAAGCCAACCTTTTCTGGGTACCGGCATGTGCTTCAGTGGGAGACAGGCGAGACACCACAATGTCTGATTTTGGAAGTAAACCTTTCTGGGTAATTACTGCTGGCATGGGCCCGAGTCGGAGACAGCCCAGACACTACCATGTCTGATTTTGTTTGGAGCCGACGAGGCCGCCAGGTTGGAACGCCTATTTTTTTGGCTTAGCGCCCACGTGATCAGGCACACAGTGTCTGAGTTCTTTGGAAGGGTTCGGCACCTGCACAGCCGCCATTAACCCGGGCCGAAGAGAAAAGGAGTTCAGTCGTCCTGGCCTGCATAATTAGGAGGTGTTTGCTTTGAGCAGCGGCCGGTGACACTGCAAGACTGCACCGACAGGCTTTCCTGGAGCCTCCGCCCTTCGTGGCCAGGCTGTTTCATCGGGTTGTTTCTTTCTTGTGTTTCTTTGAACAAGCCCTGGCCGGTCTGACTTGCAGGCGAGTGCCTTTGCTGCCAGCTGCATCGAGCTGGCGGTGGTGGAATCACCAGTGGTGCTGAAGGCTCGGAGGGTTAGTGGCACGAAAGTGTCGAATGGAAGCCTGTGCCAGTGCACGACTGCACCGACAGGCCCTTCTTCCGGGACCACCCTGTCGTCTGATGGCTGACACCGGCTGGAATGCTCGCCCGCCATGGGGCGACACGAGCCTGTCTGAGGACGAGAAGCACCTGAAGGTGCCTTGCTTGCAGTTGATCAGCTCAGGCATTTGGGGTTAAGGGTGATACATTGTTACTCGGAACACTTGAGGTGTCTGAGTACCTACACGTGAACATGCCGCAACTCCACGTATGCCTGAAGAAGTTGGACTGCAGCGAGCAAGTGTTTCTGGTGCCTCGGCAGCGGGAGAAGTCAGCTTGCTTCGGGAAGAGTCAGCCAAGCAAGAGAAAAAATCAGCTCAGGCATTTGCCGAATTGCTCCTGACGAAGGACGTGCAGCTTCGTGACTGGATCTTGGAACTGCAGTGCAAATTGCACAGCCGCTTGTTTGCAGCCTTGAGTTGCCCGTGACATGAGAGATGAGAGATGAGGTGCACAGTGTCCTGCTTCCCTAGAGGACGAAATGTCTCTTATAATTCCCCGAAAGGTAACTAGTGAAAATGTGCGGCGCTGAATGTTTCTTAATTTCCTCTAGTACGACCGAACATATGAGATTTTGGAATGCACTTTATTTTCCTTGTTGTTGACTCATGGACTGCGAAAACACGAAATGTCCTTTATTTTCCATCATGATATATATATATATATAGGTATTAGTATACATATTTGGCATGACTTGACTTGCTTTGGCATGGCATGATTTGCTTGCTGCTGCTACTACTACTACTACTATACTACTACTACTACTACTACTACTACTACTACTACTACTACTACTACTGCTGCTACTAGTACTATATTACTACTATTATACTATGTATTTTTGACACGGTTTGACTTGCTTGGCATGGCTTGAACTGATTGGCATGGCTTGAATTGAGTGGCATGGCTTGAATTGAAATTCGTGTATGACATGCAGCAATGGATAGATGCTTTGCACGGTTTCACCATGTTGGGCTCAAAGCTGTGCTGGGCAGAGCCATGTCCCAGCTCGAGGCAGGCTCACTCCGTATACGGAGTGTAGGTTATCAGAGCAGTGGAACTGTGCAGGTCGCATGCCGAAGCGAAGGCTAGCTATCAAGGACGTGTTTGACAGTGCCCCGCTGTGTGTACGTCTTGCAGAAATTTGCATTGCAGCAGCAAGATCGCGACTCGATCCTGGCTCCTCTGCATCATCTAGGTCCAAGCATGTTAGCTCCCTTTGAGATCTTGCAGGGGTCTATGTAAAGCTGGAAGGCAGCTACAGGGTGCATAGTGCATGTTGGCATATAATTTCGTATCCTGTACACAGGCTTTCGGAGTGCAATGGCATTGCTCAAGGCCAACTCGGCCTGTAAGATGGCCTCGAATATGGGTCAGGGGGAGCATTCGGTCCTTGTGGGCCTGCTGTACAACAGCTACAAGCAGGAATTGCCCTTCTTCCGCCAGGCCTGGTTGTATGGATCACTATATACCATTACTAGCTACCACTACTGGCAGCACTACCACCGCCCAGGCGGGCTTTCAGGTGGTGAGCGACAAATCCGGCAAACTCTTGAAGTGCAAGGATCACTGCTCCAGAAAGGACGTCAAAGCAAATCCCCGGGTGGATTGGGCAATATTAAGTCAAGAAAGTGTAGGAACCTACATCCCTGAAAGCACTTAAGTGGATCCCCGCCTAGGTCGCAGTGGCCACTCTTCGTGGTTATGGCATGCAGGAACAAGGTCCAGATTTTAGATCTCGTATGTCAGCTTTCGTTATCGCCGAAGCCTTGCTGAAACTCTACCAGAAGAAGAAGCTGTTCCCCTCCGGCATGGAGTCCTCCAACCCTTTGGCCCAGAAATGGGCGATCAAGGTTGGTAGTGCAGCCCGCAAGCTAGCAACTGAACTGTATTAATTGATCTTGGCTTGCATGTTGACCTTGGCATGGCATGCTCTGCAGTGTTTCGTGTGTGTGTGTGTGTGTGGGTCTGTGTATGTAGCTGTGTCGGTTGCAAGGCCAGCACTCTGAGAATCCTCATGCGACGTGCAGATTCCAGCCATTGCTCAGAGATCAGGGCCATGAAAAAGGAGTGCGAAGAGTTTTGGTGGAAACGAGAGGAGCTGCCAGCATGTTTCTGCGGCTCATTGATTTAGGGTTATTCCACTTGTAAACTTTTTCGCAGGATCTCTCAGATGGTGGAGAGTCCCAGGAATCCTCGTCGTCCTCGGGTGCCTTGGAGGACCTCATGAAGCTGACCCAGCAGCCGAAACCAAGGTTTCGCAGGATCGTTTGAAGTTCATGAAGGAGAAGCAGGCCGAGGGTTACAGTATGGAAAAAATCAATCGTGCTTGGATCAAGAAGCTGAGGGATAAGGAGGATCATGAAGCAGTTCAGGATGAGCCGTTCTACCCTTCCTCCCAGTACAAGCCGAAGAAGAAGAAGGTCTCGAAGAAGGACTCGAAGACCCCCGAGAACCCAAAGAAGAAGCCAGAAGAGAAAAAAAAGAAGACCAGCAAAGCAAAGCCACCGGTTGAATCGTCCACGTATCAACCTGGAACCTTTAAAGATGCTCGCAATGCTTTTCTGCAAAAAAAGAGAGCCAAAGGTTTCACGCACCTCGAGGCCTGTAAGGCATGGATGCTGTCCAATCGTCGAGCTAACATGCTCTCGGACCTCCCGGAGAACGAGCTTAAGAGGCGCAGATTCGCCTGATTCGTGTTTTTTTCGGGCTCCATGAAGCAAGCTTCAGGTTATATGAGCTTGAGTGATTTGAGATGGGTGCTGGCTGTTCTCCACGGAATGCTGGGGCTCTGGCATAAGGCCAGTTCTGGGCTTTTGTATCATAGCACTGCCTGGCTGGGGGCAAGGCTGGGTATCGCTGGCTATGCGATTGTAGTTCCTGTGTCCACGGGGTTTGCGAATCGCACAAGAAAAAATAGTCCACTTGGCATGGCATGACTTGTTGCACGAACTGTGCTTGCAAGCGCCGATTCTGTGAATTGGGCACACATGTGTGATTGCATGCATGGTGCAGGGCAGGAGCTGTCAACTCTAAACCTCCTCGCATTCCCAAACCCTCGGGCCCTTAAACCCTACAACTTTTAATAGCCAGTACCCCAGAATCCCAATCCGAGTAGCTTCTTGCTTCGACTACGACGTCGAGGATGAAGGACTGCATTCGTGGGGCACTAGATCTGTTCAGATTTCGAGCGGTTTTGCAGAGGACATCGGAGCACTGCAGGAAGGCCGCTGTCGTGGTAGAGTCGCTAGAGTTTGGAATAGGTGTGTTAAGTTTCACCCAGCCAGGTACTTGGATCGACCCGAGCTGGTTTGGTGGGTCCGGCTCTCATTGCATCCGTTCTTGGTATCGAAGCCTGAGCATTGGTGCATGGCTTGGCATGCATGTTGTCGGCATGATGAAGTTTGGCTGGCGAGCTTTGTGTTGGTCGATACATGTTGGCATGAACTTGTTAGCACTTTGCAGCTGGGTATACAAATATTGCCATGATATGAGCAATCATTATTGAAGCATGAACATGTTCAGCTCATGTCAACTTGCACCATGCCATGCCATCACTTTTTGCCTGGTTTGTGTTCGAGGGGTCGAGGGGCTACTTTTCGGGTTTAGATCACTATACTAACTATACATTAAATAGTCGACTCGAGGACACAACCTATGAACCCTAAACCCTTATAAGGGTTTAGGTATAATGTCCGAGTTTAAGCGCCGAGACCCCTAGATAGCACAGCCATGCCGTCCGAAGGGCATGCCGATCAATGGCCTAGCCACCTGCGGTTCCCTCCACCGCCTAAGCTTTCGTCGACCAGACCTTCGACAGCGATCCTGCCACCGCGGCCCCCGCCAGTGCCGGTGGTCGACTTGGCATCGATCCCGAAACCTCCGCCGGTGCCTCCTCGACGTTCCCTTATGGTACCGCCTCCTGCTAGGCCTCTAGCCCCTGCAGACTTTAAGGCCAGGCCGCCAAAACTTCGCATGAGCATGAGTTGCCTTGCTTGATTTCTTGTGTTTGCAGGTGGCAGCTACAGCAGCTGCCGTGGAGCCCATGGGCAAGGCTGTGCATGTGTCTTTTGCAAAAAACACCAATACCCTACATAGACCGCGACAACCCGAACCTGACATGGTATTGGCATGCTTGGGCTTGGATTGGTATTGAGCTTGCTAGGCAGATGGTATGCCTCCCGTGGTTCTGCCGAAGCCTGCAGAGCTCGTGAATCCCGGGCCGGAGGCTGTGTGTTTTGGTGTATAAACACCATGGGCCCTAAAATAAACCGCCACCCGAAATAACCCAATGATTGTCTTGACCTGCTTGGATTGGATTGATATATTGAGCAGGCACTGCCGAAGCTTGCACCGAAGACTCCGCCGATGCCTCCGCCGATGCATTTATATGGCTTTGGGCCTGCACCGTCGTCGCCGCCTCCACTGCCTCCGCCTGCAACTGAGCCCCCCGAGCTCGATGCTGCAAGCTCTGTGGAGTCCTTGTCGTCAGAGGCAGACCACATGTATCTAGAGGTATTCAGGGTTTAGGGTTTATAGGGTTTGGGGTTTATAGGCTTTATAGCTCCTTAACTTGCAGTTGTCGTGTTTTGCCTTGGCTTGATTTGTTGCAGGCCGCTGCATGTGCCGCCGATGACTATGAGGATTTGCTTCCTGGGGCCTCGGAGCCCTCGAGCCCAGAGGCAAGCCTAGAGGCAACTTCAGCGGCAGGTGCAGAGCAGAGCGAGAGCGAGGCCTCGATCACCTCGAGTACGCTGAGACGGCAGTTTCAGCAGATGAGGCAGCAGATCGAGAAGGAGGAGCAGGCTGTGCAGGCCGAGGGATCGAGGCGATCACGATCGAGATCGGGGCGATCGAGATCGAGGCGATCGAGATCGGGGCGATCGAGATCGAGGCGATCGAGATCAAGGCGATCGAGATCAAGGCGATCGAGATCGAGGCGATCGAGATCAAGGCGATCGAGATCGAGGCGGCGATCGAGATCGAGGCGGCGATCGAGATCAAGGCGGCGATCGAGATCGAGGCGATCCCGGAGGCGATCGAGATCGAGGCGATCCCGGAGGCGATCGAGATCGAGGAGGAGGAGGAGGGACAGTAGGTCTTAGGAGTGCGGGATTGGGGCTCCTGGGCTATAATATATGCTCTCCCATTGCATGTGTGTGTGTGTGTGCTTCGGGCTGATGGGCCGGCCGGGTCGTATGTTAATAGAAAAGCAAAGCTATAGAGCTATAGTGCAAAACATGCAATCGCTCGCATGCACACCAATGGAGCCACATGATCCTGCACTTCAGATTTTGATCTGTGGCTGGATCGGCCAAACCTGTACAGGTACGTATCAGAGCCGTGTACACTATTGCAAGTTAATTGAAAAAGATTGGTCGGTTGCCATGCTTGCACATGATTGATTGTCTTGCAGCTTGTCTTGCATGCATGGTTTGTGCTTGCTTTGCATGGATTGGACCGCTTGCCCAGGTCGATGCGAGCTGGTCGTGGTGAGGATCTCAGCGAAGGTGTTTGTGATTGATTGGTTTGTTGGTTTGTCCTATAGGGATATTGGGTTGTGGTTGGGATTGGGACCCCTAACCCTGAACCCTAAACCCTGAACCCTAAACCTTGAACCCTATAAACCCTGAACCCTGAACCCTCAACCTCGCTTTGAGCCGGGTGTAGGTGCTCAGCTATATAGGGCTTAAGGGCTTAGGGTTTCAGGGTTTTGTTGGGATTGGGTTTATAAATGTTATAGTATAGTGGTACGATATTGGGTTGGGGTTGGGATTGGGACCCCCAAACCCTGAACCCTAAACCCTGAACCCTAAAGCTTGAACCCTATAAACCCTGAAACCTGAACCCTAAACCCTGAACCCTCAACCTCGCTTTGGGAGCCGCACCCATATATGGGAGGGGATGAACCTAGCCGGACCTAGCCGGGTGTAGGTGCTTAGGAATAAATATTGTAGTATAATTAGTGGTATATATAAGTATATATAATCAATTCGGGCTTTATAAATGCCTTAAGCAGAACACCCGCCCAGGTCGAAGCCAGTATGGTCTTGCTTCATATCGTGTTGTGCATGTCATGAATGTTTGGATGCATGCTTGTTTGCTTTGATCCCAGGTGATATCATCATGTGCAAGCTGATCAATTGGTGCAGGGGCCTGACCCTAGATAGCGATGCCGCAGCTAGCTTTCTTTAACCCCCCGCATTCCCCGCAGTACGCACCGTAAATTCCCCGAACCCGCCCCGATACAAATGCCCTGCAAATTCATTCAAATGCCCCGTAAATTCCTACAAATGCCCTGCAAATTCATACAAATCGCCCTTTCTGGGTAATGCGCAGGAATGCACCATACGCTCTTCATTTTCCCGTACAATCGGCTAGTATCCCACATTATCTGAGTAGTGCGCCAGAATATATTGGATTGTCCATTATCCTCTCTATATTATATGAGCCTTTATACTATATAACTTGATATGAAATTATAATTATAAACTATACAATATAAACCCTATAAGCCCTTAAACCTTAATAACCCTAATATCGGTCTGCATCGAGTACAAAAGCCACGTGCTGCTTGCATTGCATGTCATGCATGAACCATGTCTTGAGCTTGGCATGTCTTGCTGTTGCATGTACGTTGCTGTGTATAGGTTTTTGGCTGCAGGCTTTTAAGTCGCTAGGTCGTAGCCCATCATAATGGAGAAAGAAATCAAAGCCTTAATGAAGACAGCAAAGCTGTCCTATGAGGAGGCTAAGTTTTGCCTCGAGCCGCCAAAGAAGGAGCCTCTAGACACGAATTGTACTAGCCGCATGCACATTGAATTGATCGGTATAATTGCCACCTAGGCCGAAGCTGTGGAAAGGTGCTTCGAAGCTGACACCTCCTAGGAGGGTCCGAGAAAAGTCAACCCCGGCGGGGAGCTCGGGGATCAAGCGATCTGCTGTAGATCGTGACGGTGCGTGGGTATATGAAGGGCATGTTCATGAGAATCAAAAGAAGAAGAACAAGAAGCAAAAGCAACCCAAGGAGGAGGAGAAAGAGGAGGAGCATGATGCAGTGCCAGCAACAAGCAACAAAAAGACCAAGAAGGCAAAGAAGGAGAAAGCAAAGGAAAATAAGGCTGCAAAGGTTTCCATTGATCAAATGGACACCCAGGAGTGGGATGCCGAGGATACGGTGCCAGGGGCACAGGATCTCGAATGGGATGATGAGGTGCAGGCCGAATGGGAGGCATGGCGAGAGGAATGCAGGCTCATCAAGATCAGTCAGCAGGAGGAAGACGAAGGCGAGGTCGATGGAGAGGCTTGGGATCCGGAGGACTTCATTCCTGAGAGCGACTGGTATCACATGGTGGTACCTTCAAGTAAGTTGCCACTGTGGGGAGGGTTGAGAAGTGATTATGAGTCTTCGCACTCGTCTGATCAGCTCGAGGAAGTGCCGGAGAAAGTCGCCAAAGATCCCGTACCGTCAACCGCGAAGGAGGTGCCGGAGAAAGTCGCCGAAGATCCCGTACCGTCAACCGCGATGGTCCTGCATGAAAAGAAGGATGAGAAGATCACTTCGGCCACGCACCGCTCAAGCTGGAACAAGCTGTCGCAGCTTGCGGAGAGCGGCGAGTTCCCATGCCTGGCTTCGGTGTGGTCTACTGCCGATAGAAAGAAAAAGAACGAGCTACTTCGGAAGTATGTGCTCTCCAAAGACCCCAATCAGGTCGAAAGCGAGCTGCAAGTCACGAGTACCCAAGGCACTGGTAGCAGAAAGGTCAGGGTGTGCTTGACCCTCCGCCAGATGAGAAAGAAGCCGTACTTCTTCCCCAAGGAGAAGTGTGAGTGGATCGCACAGAACAGAAAAGGCATCGAGGACGAAGACTTTCCAGGTGGTCCACTAAAGTATTGGGTCAATGTCATGATGGAAGCCGAAGACTACAAGAAGAACCAGCCCCTATAGCACGCATGGAGTTTGACATGTGAGTTGACATGTGTGTGATTATGTCCCCTAAACCCTAAGCCTCCTGAAAAGATCGTGACTTCCATAGGTCTTTTGGCGAACATTCCCCAATAACCCTAAACCATAAAAAGATCATCAATTCCATATGGTTTTTGGTATGTTCCCCACCATGCATGGTCGAGGTCCGAAGTCCGATCCCGCTCCAATATGGACATTCAGGAGGCGATGCAGGTCCACCTCGCGAACAAGCCTGCTTTCGGCAAGAAGTCTGATCGCACAGAGACGGTCGATGATGACGATGACAGCGACGAAGAGCAGAAGCCCGAGCCGAAGCCCAATCGCGGGAAGAACAAGCCCTCGTCTACCCCCCAGCTGGCCTTGCCAGACAAGCCCTCGAATAAGCCCGGCGGTAAGAAGGCAAAGGTCAAGAAAATCAGTGTGTGGGATACCCCATGGGCCACCAAAGAAGAAAGAAAAGAGAAGTGGAGTTCATGGCCTAGTGTTTGGGAGATTGCATGGTAGAATCGTTGTAGAGTTTTAAAAGCAACTTTTCGGGTCCCAGGCTTGTTATAATTAAGTTCAGGCAGCGAGCTCCGCAAGGAGTTGATCAGCGCCGAAGGCATCCGCCAAGATGCTCCCGAAAGGATTGAGCCAGGTGTCAAGGACTTTTGTTTGTTGCTTTGGCTTGCTTGCATGTGTATGTTTGTGGCATGGCATGGCATGGATCTTGATAAACCCGCTTTGACCCCACGCTTGAAACCTTAAGCCTTCCGCCTTAAGATCGTGTCCAGGATGCTTTCGAGAAAGCCACAGCAGACATGCGGTCCGCATTCCAGAAGTCGCTCGTGCATATGTACGATAGATATATAGCATATAGGAACGAGAGAGCCTCATGCACCGAGACTTAATTAATTATATGTAAGGCTGAAGCGAACACCTCTCGACGACATCGACAGCATTCGCGACGATTGCATTGAGGCGGTCATTCAGTTCAACATTGCACGAGGAAGCATGCGAGGAGCCATCACGGCCATGAAAAAGCAGTCCTGATCGATCGGCGAACCACTAGCAAGAGCTAGCATCCTGAAATTTTGACTTTTGCTTAGTTGTGGTGCACCGCACCGCTGCTGCGAATCGCGAACCGCAAAAAAGATCTTCAATCCCATATGTCCTTTGCCGTAAAAGATCGTAAGTTCCATATGGTTTTGGTACATTCCCCAAACCCAAAAACCTTAAAAATATTAGCAATTCCATATGTCTTTTGGCAAAAAAGATCGTAAGTTCCATATGGTTTTGGTTAATTCCCCAAACCCTATAACCTTAAAAGATTAGCAATTCCATATATATTAATTCCCTTAGACCTTAAAAAGCTTCAGAAATTCCTTTCAAGCCCACAGGTACTTGTTCGGACCATGTCAGTGATGCTGACAAAACGGCCAAGAAGTCCCACGCCCGGATGAGTATCGATCCATCTTTGTTGTATCTATATATTGGCATGCTTTGCTGCTAGGCTGCTTCAACAGGTTGCAGCCGGAAGATCCACGCTGACGGCTTCTGCAGAAGTCTTGGCCCACTTGGATTCGGATCTTTTGGGGTTTCTTGGTGGGGAACTTGCCATGGCATGTACGTTTAAATTGTCTTGATGCATGGATGGTTAAACATGTGCTTGATTTGCCTAAGGGGATTTCCGTCGAGACCTCTTCGAGATGATGAGCTTTTCGCAAAAGCCAAAAAGGCGAAGATGGCGATCCCCTGCTTGGCTCAGTATGTCGTCACGCCTGTGCATGTGCATGCTGGGCAGATCGAGTACCAGTCCTGGCCATATATAAGTCCGATAGAGTGGTTGGAAAAGTTGATGATGGACCATCGAGATGCCTTAGTACCAAGCCCCAGTGAGATAAAGGATTTCTGGAAAACGTGGCTCAAAGACCACCCCCTCGACGAATTCCACGACGACAGCTGGCCGCTGGAGAGAATCATACCGCTACAATTGTGGGGGGATGAGGGTACCCTGAGGTCTAACTCTTGGCTCCTGGTGACTTTGCAATCAGCCCTTGGCCCTCCTGATGTGCGAAGTCTGTCACAGGCGAGCAGGTACCCTCTTTTCTCTTTCCCCGTGGAAGGTTATGTGAAAGATCCCGACACCAATGTCAACATGTCGCTGGACATGTTGTTGGAAAAAATTTCCTCGGACTTCAACAAGCTGCTTAGCGAGGGCTTCACAACGAAGCATGGACATTTTTTTGCCAGGCTAGTAACGCTGAAGGGCGACTGGAAATGGCTAGTGCAGGCACTGAACCTGGTTAGATCGCCGAGCTCCGACATGATATGCCCATTTTGTCATGCCGGGAAAACGCACATGCTCTTCACGAATGTCCGAGAGGATGCCCCGTGGGCAAACACACTTTTCTCTTCTGCACCTTGGCAGGTGTTCCCTAGTATAATGCGGATCAAGTATTTTCGCCTGGAGATGGTTGTCTTCGACCTGATGCACGTTTGGCATTTGGGGTGTGGCAGAGATATCGCCGGCACGTGCATTAAGGAGCTCACGAAAGCCAAAATTTTTGTTGGTAGCAAGATCGGTGAGAGGCTCCAATCGGCATATCAATCCTTGAGATCCTGGGCTCGAGAACACAACAAAACATTGGCCATCAAAAGGTTTACGAAGGAGAATGTGCATTGGTACAGCGATGCCTGCCCCGAGCCTTGCACGATCTTAAGTAATTAATATCCCGTTGAGTTATTTTAGTTTCGTTCGGACTTGTCGCGATTGAAATTTCCTCTACGCATACGTGCGAACCGAGGGAATCCACTGCAAAGCTTCGGACACAGCTGTCATCACGGCATGGTTGGCATGGCTTTTCCAGAACTTGAATCATGACTTGGTGTGGCCACTACCTGAATTGCGAGAGATTGTGCAACATGCCGAGACCTGTATAGGTACCATGGTGCGAGCGGGTAGGTATTTCACCCACAACGAGTGGGTCGACGTCGTATCCTCGGGTCACTTGTTGGTTAAGCAGTGGTTTCGCTTGGCCAAGCAGGGTGTGGACAGGTCGCTTGTCTTTTTAGCAAAGGTAAGGCCGAAGGGGCATGCCTTGCAACACATGATCCAGTTTCTTGAGCTGTCGGAGTCTCGCGAGAACCCGGCCTTTTACAGCTGCTGGATGGACGAGGACAGTGCATGCACTGTAAGCCTGTAGCCCGAATTGCAAACATTCATGCTGCCAGGACTACGTGAAGAAGTTCCTGCGAGTCCAAAGAGTCTTGCACTACGGTAGCTGCAGTCTCACCATTTTGCAGAGAAGTCTCATCAACTGCAAGACCGCTTTCGAGGAGCTAGGGTTCTGAAAATGTTGCAAGCTTGCTGCCTGCACCTTTTTTGCAAGTCAAGCCATGCCAATGTAGCAGTCTGCATGTGCCATGGCATGTTTCGATTTGTGTTGCAAGTTGTTACTGCTTGTCATGGCATGGATTGCTCTGTGTATTGGGTATATAGAGTTTGCGATCTTAGGATAGATATATATATCTACTATATTCGCAGTCAAGGCATGCCAAAGCAACTCAAGCCATGCCCAGCAAGTCAAGCCATGTCAAAAATACATAGTAGTATAGTAGTAGTAGTAGCAGTAGTAGTAGTAGTAGTAGTAGTAGTAGTAGTAGTAGTAGTAGTAGTAGTAGTAGTAGTAGTAGTAGTAGTAGTAGTAGTAGTAGTAGTAGTAGTAGTAGTAGTAGTAGTAGTAGTAGTAGTAGTAGTAGTAGTAGTAGTAGTAGTAGTAGTAGTAGTAGTAGTAGTAGTAGTAGTAGTAGTAGTAGTAGTAGTAGTAGTAGTAGTAGTAGTAGTAGTAGTAGTAGCAGCATGCCAAAGCAACTCAAGCCATGCCCAGCAAGTCAAGCCATGTCAAAAATACATAGTAGTATAGTAGTAGTAGTAGTAGTAGTAGTAGTAGTAGTAGTAGTAGTAGTAGTAGTAGTAGTAGTAGTAGTAGTAGTAGTAGTAGTAGTAGTAGTAGTAGTAGTAGTAGTAGTAGTAGTAGTAGTAGTAGTAGTAGTAGTAGTAGCAAGCCATGCCAAAGCGCCAAAGAATACAAATCAAGTCATGCATGGTATACCTTCTTACCACAAGAGACGAAGTGAAAATAAGCGACGCCGATAACTAGTTGAAGGCTAACAAACGAGCCAATATGAATTTAAACGATGCTGCACTTGAATGTTTCTTATATTCCTCAATATGATCGATATATTCCTCAATTGTCTCTTAAAAACCGAACCAATATGAATTTAGCTGTCTTTGTGACCACCGGGGTCTTTTTAGAGTGCGTTTCGTCCTCTAGGTCCGAGGACAGCTGCAGGCGACGCGGGGTCACCAGTGGGTCGACATAGACAACACGTTGCTCAACTTCGCTAGCGAGCGCAAACGCTGGTTTGGCTCCTGTTCTGCACTTTCTTTCCTGTTAGGGTGTTAGGCTTCAGATGCCCGCTTCCCCTGCTGCACTAAGACCGTGGCTGCCGTCATGAGGAGATCCCCTCGATGTTCGTGCCTGAGCAGCGCCTGACACGTGTGAAGAAGGAGCCCCGCATGGAGGCCATTCACCACTCAGTGCCACAGCGGTTCTTACTCAGTCCTAACAAGTTGTGTTCTTGTCTTCAGGAGCCTGAAGCAAAGCGGGGGCTGAGGCCACCTCGTGGGGGAGGACGAAAGAAAGACTGGCCTGAGGCAGTCGAGCCTGCAGGGAAGGGCGAAGCAAAGGCCAGGCAGAGTTTGCGCCATCTCTCGATATTGCACGGCTTAGATGCTGGTTCGCCTTGCACATGGGCTTGTGCAGGTGACATCGATGAAGCAACTCTTGACTGACGTGAAGCAGGAGCCCTGCAAGAAGGCCAGTGACTGAGCAGTGCAATATCGGTTCTTCGTTCGCCTTGCACATGGCCTTCTGCAGGTCACAATGATCAAGCAATGCTTGACTGATGTCAAGAAGGAGCCCTGCATGAAGGCCAGTGACTAAGCAGTGCAAGATCTTTTGTTACTGAATCACTAAAGAGTTGTCTTCTCCTCGCTGCAGGCCGTTGCTGTTCGTCTGAGAGGCAAGCAAGCGGACCAGAGCAAGGCGAACTTAGTTCTGCACGAGGCTCTCCGACGAGACTCTGCACTGTAATCTGGCAGGTGAAGAGCGGCACCAACAAGGGCAAGAAGTACAAGAGGCACGTTGAGGCTGACATCAAGAAGTTGTCAGAGATGGACAACTACCTCAGTGTGCCGTGCCTGGGCTGAATTAATTAGAGTTGTTCTGTCGTCATTCTCGCAGTTAAGGCACAGGGCCTGGAAGCGCCTGATCTACTCGATGATCCCGGGCGACTTCAAGGTCCAGACTGAAGCCCTCGAGATGCTCCAGGCTGTGGCTGAGGAGGTCATGCAGGAGCACCTTGTGTCCGCGGTGCCGAGATGCCTGTTGGAATCCGGATAAGGCCACATCATGCTGGGGTTCCCTATACATTACTTGTAATTAACGATGGAGGCTAGATCGTTTCCAACTTGTGGGCTTCTGCAGACTCTGGGTTCGGGTGGCTGATTTTCGTCCATCCTTGGGTAAGATCGCAGACGTCGGTCTGATGGGGCAGCTGGGGATTCGTGTATGCCTGAATCTGCCGGAATGAATCTGTGGCACCCGGGCACCGCGAGAGCAAAAGCAATACCATTCTGGCACGGTGCAGGCGTGCTGCCAATGACAAATGCACATGCTGGTAGTGAGCCAGGTTGTGCAGTCCGCTGTGGTGGCCAGGTGCCCAGCATTGTCTCTGTGTCCGAGTTCCCGATTGTATCCTTGGAGTGCTTGGCAGAACTCTGTGTTCAGCCATTTTGGCTGAAGCTCTGGCCTTAAGTGCCGGAGAAAACTTTTGGCTGTAGGGCTGTAGGGGCACCATGGATGATGCAAGCCTTCAGCCGGGAGAAGAAGTTTTGCCTGATCCGGTGGGCGAGCAGACTGTGCATCACCTCGTATGTCTGCAGCTGCATTTCTCTGAAAGCCTCCGCAACATGATGGACAACATGGAGACGATTGTTCGGAGACTGAACTTCTTGACTGATGAAGTCAGGGCCCTGAGGGAACAGGTGTCTGAGGCATCTGCAGGCCCGACTGCTGCCTCGCGTAAACGCCCCCGCAGTCGCAGTGTCTGACGGCTGCAGTTTTGGCTTTACGAAGCTCTGCAAAGGACACTTCTCACGACTGAGACTATACCTTGCTTGCAAAATTTGCCAGGGAGCACGGGGTGGCTGGCGGAAGGCCCTTTTCCTGGCTACTGGCATGTGCCTGAGTGGGAGACAAGGCAGACACTACAATGTCTGAGTTTGGAAAGCCACTTTTCTGGGTACTGCCATGGGCCTGGAGTTTGGAAACCCACCTTTCTGGGTACTGCCATGGGCCTGAGTGCAGACACTACAATGTCTGGTTTTGGAAGCCAACCTTTTCTGGGTACCGGCATGTGCTTCAGTGGGAGACAGGCGAGACAGCACAATGTATTCCCGAAAGCATCGCGAAGGGTTCTTCCGTGTGGAACGCCGCAGCTGAGTACATAGATGACAGACATAGAATCAACTTACTTGACTCCATACTTTACTTCACTCTACACTTGATACTTGACTCTACACTTGATACTTACTTACTTACTTACTTGACCTCTATGACTGACTCTCTACACTTGACACTTGACTCTATGTGATACTTGACTCTACACTTGATACTTGACTCTATGTTATGCTTACGACTTACTTACTTACTTACTTACTTCACTCTACTTACTTACTTACTTGACACTTGACACTGGACTCTATGTTATGCTATCTCTATACTTACTTATACTTACTTACTTACTTACTTACTTACTTACTTACTTACTTGACTCTATGCCTCTATGACTTACTCTCTACATCTCGGTATCTAATTCTCTCTTCTAAAGCCAGGGGTGGCACCGTTGTCGTCCATCGGGAATGCAACCCTTCCCAGGGATTCGCCTCCTCGGGCGTTCAAACGCGAGGTAAAGTTACACATTTTAGGGTTCCCGCGCAACCCTTCCCAGGGATTCGCTGCCTCGGGCGTTCAAACGCGAGGTAAAGTTACACATTTTAGGCGCCCGGGTGAACCCTTCACAGGGATTCGCCTCCTCGGGCGTTCAAACGCGAGGTAGTTACACATTTTGCGGTTCCCGTGCAACCCTTCACAGGGTTTGGAACTCTCGGGCGTTCAAACGCGAGGTAAAGTTACACATTTTAGGCGCGCGGGTGAACCCTTCACAGGGATTCGCCTCCTCGGGCGTTCAAACGCGAGGTAAAGTTACACATTTTTCGCGCGCCGCGCAACCCTTCACAGGGATTCGCCTCCTCGGGCGTTCAAACGCGAGGTAAAGTTACACATTTTTCGCGCGCCGCGCAACCTTTCACAGGGATTCGCCTCCTCGGGCGTTCAAACGCGAGGTAAAGTTACACATTTTTCGCGCGCCGCGCAACCCTTCACAGGGTTTGGGCGCAGCTCAACTGCATTTTGCAACCCCTCACAGGGATTGGCATTTTGCGACCCCTCACAGGGATTGGCATGGTCGAATGCACGAACGCGAGGTAAAGTCGCATTTTTTTATGTGCATTGAGATGATTTTTGCAACCCTTCACAGGGATTGGCGTGGTCGAGTGTTCGAACGCGAGGTAAAGTTGCATTTTTTGATGTGCATTGAGCTGAATTGTGCAACCCTTCACAGGGATTGGCGTGGTGGAGTGTTAGAACGCGAAGTAAAGTTGCAATTTTTTGATGAGCATTGAGATGAATTTTGCAACCCCTCACAGGGATAGGCGTGGTCGAGTGTTCGAATGCGAGGTAAAGTTGCAATTTTTGATGAGCATTCAGATAAATTGGGCGAACCATCAACGGCAACTTCAAGTGCTCGCATTGGTACATTGGTGCGGCGGAAGCGTAGTGATTCCCAATGCCTCGGTTCATCTCCTGGCCGCGACATCCTGTGAGCAGATAAAGGTTCATCGAGACGCAGGAGCTCCTCGATTGCTTGGCGGGTTAAATACTTCGCGGCATCTGGCGGGTTTCCTAGTGAAGTGGGGTGTTTCACTTCGGAACGGTGTCTTCCCAAATCCCTAATGGCTGCACTGCCTTCCGCTGCTGGACTCCCGGCGGCACGAGTCGCGCAGCGGCTCAGCGAGGTGGACCCGTTTGTGGTATAGGATAGATCTTAAATCCCCAATCATCCTTTGAGAGACCCGTGTTGTGACTGCCGCTTGGGAATGTTTGCCAGATGCCGCCGGGTTTCTTCTTCTGAGATAGTATACCAAGGGTTGATACACAGGGTGTCACCGAAGCCTGGAGCTCTCGATGAATGTCTGCAGCTAGAATCAATCTTTCTAGAGGAGGCTCTGGACCACCGTGATCCCTGCATTAGTCCTACTAGGCCCTCGTGGATTATCCGGTGTGGATAGACACGAAATAAGGACCCCTAAGCCCGTGGCGTTCCCCTGGAGTCTGTTGGGTCGGCTAAGAAACATACGCTGGCCTCTTGTGGTTTGAGATGAAGAGCGAAACCCTAATTCCCTGCTACTTTCAGAGACCAGTGTTGCGACTTCCGTTTGGGGATGTTCGTCAGCTGCCGCTATGTTTCTGCCGCTATGTTTCTTCTTCCATGATACTATACCTTGGGTTGGTATAATGCGTGCTATGGAGGCTCGGGGCTCCCGATGAACCTTTGCAACTACAATCAGCAGTTTTCATGAGGCTCCGGACCGCCGTAATCCCTGGGATGACCTCTCCCGGCACCTCCTCAGGCCGCGCGGCCCTTGACTCCACGGTGAGCCGTGCGGGCCGCGAATTCTTCGCTCTGGCTAGGTTGCACCGTTGCTTGCTTGCTTCGACGCTGTCTTGCGAAAGAGCGAGCAAGCAACGTGGCGGCCTACTCTCACTGTAACTCTATGACTTTATGACTTATGACTCATGGACTCCATGACTCTTGACTGTATGTGCCTCTCGAGGTCCAGGTCGGGCTATGAGCCCTCACGCTACGGGGATCTCGATTAAGCGTTCCCACACATAGAGCATAGAGTGAACTACATCGAGTCAAGTGCATGGTACATAGATGACTCCATGACTCTGCGACTTGATCCACTATGACTCTATGACGCTATCTCACTGTAACTCTATGACTTTATGACTCATGACTCATAGACTCCATGACTCTTGACTGTATCTGCATCTCGAGGTCCAGGTCGGGCTATGAGCCCCCACGCTACGGGGATCTCGATTAAGCGTTCCCACACATAGAGCATAGAGTGAACTACATCGAGTCAAGTGCATGGTACATAGATGACTCCATGACTCGTGACTTGATCTCACTATGACTCTATGACGCTATCTCACTGTAACTCTATGACTTTATGACTCATGACTCATGGACTCCATGACTCTTGACTGTATCTGCATCTCGAGGTCCAGGTCGGGCTATGAGCCCTCACGCTATGGGGATCTCGATTAAGCGTTCCCACACATAGAGCATAGAGTGAACTACATCGAGTCAAGTGCATGGTACATAGATGACTCCATGACTCTGCGACTTGATCTCACTATGACTCTATGACGCTATCTCACTGTAACTCTATGACTTTATGACTCATGACTCATGGACTCCATGACTCTTGACTGTATCTGCATCTCGAGGTCCAGGTCGGGCTATGAGCCCCCACGCTACGGGGATCTCGATTAAGCGTTCCCACACATAGAGCATAGAGTGAACTACATCGAGTCAAGTGCATGGTACATAGATGACTCCATGACTCGTGACTTGATCTCACTATGACTCTATGACGCTATCTCACTGTAACTTTATGACTCATGACTCATGGACTCCATGACTCTTGACTGTATGTGCCTCTCGAGGTCCAGGTCGGGCTATGAGCCCTCACGCTATGGGGATCTCGATTAAGCGTTCCCACACATAGAGCATAGAGTGAACTACATCGAGTCAAGTGCATGGTACATAGATGACTCCATGACTCTGCGACTTGATCTCACTATGACTCTATGACGCTATCTCACTGTAACTCTATGACTTTATGACTCATGACTCATGGACTCCATGACTCTTGACTGTATCTGCATCTCGAGGTCCAGGTCGGGCTATGAGCCCCACGCTACGGGGATCTCGATTAAGCGTTCCCACACATAGAGCATAGAGTGAACTACATCGAGTCAAGTGCATGGTACATAGATGACTCCATGACTCGTGACTTGATCTCACTATGACTCTATGACGCTATCTCACTGTAACTCTATGACTTTATGACTCATGACTCATGGACTCCATGACTCTTGACTGTATCTGCATCTCGAGGTCCCGGTCGGGCTATGAGCCACCACGCTACGGGGATCTCGATTAAGCGTTCCCACACATAGAGCATAGAGTGAACTACATCGAGTCAAGT